TAGTGGTTTATTGGAGATAAAGATAAGAGTCTCTTGGACTTTCCTGCCCGTGGTGGCTTTGAACTGTGATCCTCAGATCTCAGCCTCCTGAGTAGTTAGGATTATAGTGAGCCACTGTTTTTATTTTGCTCCCCAAACAAATAATACCTTTCCAAGTCCCCTTGTGCAATAAAGAAAACACAAGACACAGACCACTGCCTTAACAAATGGATGACTTTATTAAGAGAGAAGGACAAGGTAGGTAATCACCCCAGTCACGCCATCCAGGAGAACAAGGGACATAGACTTACGTATACAATACTTTGGTTTAAAAATTATCCTTATCATGTTCAACCTGATATTTGAAGAAGCAAATGTGGAACATAAAACCATGGAAACACAAGCTTGCATAGATGAATTAACATAGACAAGGAAGGCTGGAGCCTGGGAGAGTGCCTTCATGATGTTGACCACCTCAGCCTCCCAACGCAGAAAAAGTAACCAGCACCATGTTCCTCATCTTCCTTGATGAGTTATGAGCAAGAATCTGTGCTGCAGGAAGGTGACGTGAAACAGACTGATCCACCAGTTTAATTCAGATGGGTACGTGCCTGCCCACCAGTACCCACCCGTCACCTTTAAGGCATCCACATCGCTTCCCTCACAGTATCTGTCACTGAATCTCTAGATAGGCATTGGTTTAGGGTGGTGTGCTTTCCAGCCTCAGACAAGCAACTGAATCCCATCAAGGTTCTGTTTGGCTCCATGAAATAGCTACTTCAGAGCTGCTTCCTCCCTTTGGGGCCTGGTTATATACTGATGAGTACTTGAGATAACATTGCTTTTGTTGTATGAACATAATCCAGATTCTGAATATTAAAAGGGTGCTTACCAAAGAACTGGAAGTGTCTGGGCACTGCTTAGTTCTCTCTCAAGGGATTATTTTTCCAAATTATATGACAAATGGCAGCATTACCTGGAATGGAATTTCCTGAGCAACTTGATTTGTGAGCAAATTCAACATTTTAATTCAGCACCTTTTCAAAATATATTTTGCTGGGCTAGATTCTTCTTAGGGGAAACCCTACATTACAGAGAATTCTCCTGTTATTCCCCGCTATACTTTCTTTTTATTTACAACAGCTCATGTGAAGAATATTGGTTTGCCCAGAAGAGGCAAGAGGAAAATTGGCCTTTCAGTTTACAAGGTCTAAAGTTACAGTCTATGGGGATTTCAGAGACTAATCAAAAGTATAAAAATTCTGACACCTAAAACTATCTCACAAAACTTAACAGGAAGCATTTTAGTGGCTATGGTCCAAAATTCAGTGTGTCATATCACATTCTCTCATCTGTCTTCTCTTTAGTGTCCTAAATCTTTACTCTCCTGAAGGAAATATCACTTGACCCCTGCCTTGGATCCTACCCTCTTGCTATCTTAATTAACCACAGAAACGAATAATGGGGCACTGAATTACAAAACAGGTCTGCCCTGACTGGAAATAAAAGTCATCACAGTGCTGGCCCCCCTGTCATGAAGTTCATCAAAAAGAGAAAAAACAAATTAATTCCAACTTTGTGAAGACACTTAAAAAGAATACTACTTAATCTACGAAGAACATGTTAGTAAGCAGGCAGTGTTTATATATCTATATCTATATATAGATATAGATATGCATATGGGAAACAGAGTGGCTTTCAGGGCTGGACATTTCCCAAAGATGAACACAATCACTTACTAGAACCTTTAAAAACCATCTTGGTATCTCATTTACAAACGTTTTCCTGGGTAATTTTCTCCTAAAAAGTAGAAAAACATAACAGTCTGTAGCACATCAGAAATCTTCCATTTCAAATGAATGCACACTGTTTGATTCTCTTTTTTGGGTTAATGGTTAATAATCATTTCAATACACAAAAGGCATTATGGAAATGTTTACAGTATGAATGTCTTCATTCACAAAAGAATCTTTAGAAACATCTACATAGTCCTTATTTAAAAAAGGGGAGAGTCAGAAAACTCAATTATTCAGAAAGTGATTGCCTGGTATGAAGGAAGGTTCTACCAGAATTTTCTTGCTCCTCCTCCTACCAGTCTTTCTGGTCATGTCTTTGCAATTCAGGGAGCTGAAATGATGTATTTGTCAGTGTCACATCAGCAGAAATATAGAGGGAGAAGAGGCCTTATGACAAGGAAGCTTGGGAATCATCTGTGGGTTTTGTCAATGACAGCTGACTGTCATTCACATACAGCAGTATATACTGTGCTCACACAAAGTCAAATTAATTTAAGGCAAACCTGCTCCTCACTAACATTGCTGGGATAAAGTGCAGAGCTTATCAGGAAAGTGGGTCTGTACTATTGACATTTTCCCAGTTAACTCTCATCGACTCAAGTTCCCCAAAAGTATCTTTCAGCATTCCTAATGACACCTGTTAAGTGCCAGGAACAGCAATAGCCTCTGCTCTTCCCTTTAGTAAGTAGTTTTACATATATCATTATGGACAAAGGAGATTGTTCCAGCAAGAATTAGCATGACCCTATCCCTGTTCAGCTTTACCAGGATCATCTGTAGTTTGCTCCTCTCTGCTCATAAACACAATCACAGATTAAGAAGGAACAAGATAAACAAATATAACTTCAAAACTCATGGGCACCAACAGATACGAGAAAAGGGGAGCATTTTCCAGACTTACTTCTGGATGAGCAGAACATAATGGACATAATACATACTCTTTTGCTAAAAAGATCGGGGGGGAGGGGGTGCTTGAGTCTTTTTTAAAGGCTGCAGGATATGGCACAGTATTTACAGTAAAATCTACTTGACCAGTGTTGCTTTTCAAAGTTAATAGTCGCTGCACCAATGCCATCGACCTAAAAGGGAACAAGCCTTTAATTCAGATTCTATTTTGTCCTTAGTAATTCCACTGATCGACTCAAGGTTCTCATCTTTTCTTATGCAGTCACCAGTCATCTTTCAAGAAAATTGAATAACAAACATCCTTGGTATTTTTCAGAGTTTTTTTTCCTTTCTTCTTTTTTTTGAAAGGCAGCATTCATTAAAAATCAAGGCCCTAAAAAAATGCTAACCACTTACGTGGTAAACAATGCACCATATTATAATAAATATTTGCAATTTGGCACGACAAATTTAGAGAAGATATGACACTATTAAAAATAACTATCGGCTAAAGCAAATATAAAAATACTATTACATTTTTATACTGACATGTTGTGTATATGAAAAAGATGAAAAGTGTCAGCAATGAATTTAGTTACCAGCTTGTTAGGTTTCCAGCCAGAACAAGGAAAGGCAGAGGTGGCTGGGTCCAGAATTTCCTAGAGTTCACGGAACAAGAGACTCATGGTCACCATTCTGAAAATAGTTTCCTTCTAGGAACACTTATCCATCTTTCTTTTTAACTTAGATGTTTCCCTGTGATCAAAATCACATGGCTCTTGTTACTGTTTTGATGTTGCAATTCACTAGTGTCCTGCAGGCCATTGTAAAGTCAAATTGAGAAAATTCAGTGCTATGCATATTCATTTTAGAGCATGTGGAGGAACCAACCAGTCTCTCAGGAAAATAATTACATCTAACAATAGCTTAAACTCAACCTCAAAATTTTACCAGAGATTTTGTTCTGTTTTTTCATGTTAGACATTTAAGCTGACTTTTATCTGATCTCTTGCCTAGGCAATGATTTACAAAAGGCCAGGTTCTGGAAGAGAGGGAATATAATGTCAAGTAGCTCTAAAAGCCAGGCCCCTTAACTTGGTGGTAGGGCTTGGCTTCCAGAGAGCAGAAACTTAGAAGCAGAAAGAACTTCTGCTATTGGTATTAGTATAATAAATAACTCATAATACATTGTGGTCCTAAAAATTAAGTTGCCTGTGTTCCAACAGGAGGAATAGGAATACAATAAATGTGTCCATACTGATGACAAAGTAATTGCAAAGTAAAAAGCAGGAAACATTGTGAAGATAGGCAGTTCATCAGAACACAACTGTTAGTTGTTTCTGCCATTCCAAAGATAATTATTACATTGGAATGAAACAGCATGAGAATATGCTGACAGTAGATTTCTAGTGAATTACTGATCCTCTTAAAAAAGTGTTTGCTTTACAAAAAATAAAGATAAAATATTTCAAAATCCTAATCTTTAAAAAAAAACTAACAAAAAGTAACAAGTTTTCAATACTGACAATGAATTGGCTGTCACAAGGGCACTGCTATATGTGGTCATTCACTAACAGCTGAACCCTAAGAACTCTGGTGTGGTAGGTGGCCTAATATCTTTATGACTGAAGAGTGCCCAGCTGACATTTCACAATAAATATGATTGAATAAAGTACATGAAGAGCCAAGAAAATGCTGAGTTTCAAAAGTAAAACTCATCACTATATGAAATAGAAAAATAAACATTTATAAAGTAAAAATATGGCAAAGAAATGTTGTCCATTTGCCTAATTATCAAATAAAAATACAAGTGTGTTTTCTGAGTTTAGTTACCATTTTAAAGCATGAATAAAAATCACAGGGCAGATAAAGAAAAATATAGCTATTACTTTAAGTCACCAAGTCTATGCTTGGGATATTAACATCTCTACCTGGATATGGACTTAAGACCAGCCTTCATTTTGTCTTCCCTTCTTTAAATGAAGACTTTCCTATATTCATTTCATTATAACTGGTTAAGTCTTGTTATTTTTCCCTTTCCTCCATTTTCTCAAACTGACCACACAAATTAAGGTTTCATTTCTTTCCAGATTATCATTTGCCTACAAAATAACTCTCAGGTGCCTTTTACCTAAGTCTCTACAATAAAAAAGAAACTTTATGAAACAAAAGCTCTTTCTCAAAATGAGAAATCCAAATCCACTCTGAGAATTTGTTTGAAATACCTTCCCTGAATTCTGCCCAATATTTATAGACGGTCTGGAAAATAAGGCAAATAGAAGGCAGTTCCCGGGACAGGAAAAATTAACAACTCAGTTCCCAGGACAGGAAAAATTAACAACTCTTTCTCTAGACACATATATTTCTTTCGTAAATAAATGCCATATTGATATGCAAAATAAATGACAGATTCATACAGTGAAAAAGAGCAGGAGGTCAAGCTGAAAGAATTATTAATGGTTTGATTGACATGTATGTTAACAGAGAAGTATAGGTAAATAAACATGTCTGTGAGTTTGCAATCATACCCACTAAATTGCTAAAAGAGAGGGCACCGCTTGTAAAAAAAAAAAATACACTGTGTAGGACCAAATACTCAGTAAAGAACTACTTCATAAAGTTCAACTTCATGACAAATTATTCTAATTATTAGGTGGGACATAAAACATTATTGAGAAGTTGTCAACACTGTTCTTTTTTTTTTTTTTGGTCTGTCGTGGTCTTGGGTGCTGTCCCTCGAGCTCTCTACCACTTGAGCCACAGCACCACTCAAACACTGTTCTTTTAAGCAAGAGGCAACCTTCAGTCAATAGCCAGAGAGACTCTACAGAATCTTCTCTGTTGAAATGATCTTCTAATTCCACTTCCCTTAGCTCTTTCTAAAAGTAAATGTTAAACAAAAGATATAAAGACTGTTTGTTTTTTTTTTTAATTTTCAGTTGATTTTGCAGATGTGTAAATTAATATTTCAGTGAAATAATTTTTGGCAATAATGTTCTTTGCTTGGTGTCTTCTGAAAGCCTTGCTATTGCAGATGCAACAGCACAGTACGTATTAAATATAGAATACAGACCAATTTTCCCAGTGGTGCTTATTAATATACAAAACCTCTACTAGTTCCATGTATTCAGAACAGTAATTTCAAATAACCCTAGTGTTTCTTTTTTAAATACTTCATAGTTATAATATTTTATTTTCCTGAGAATAAAAAGTAACAGCTCTGTCCTTCCAAACATCTAATGCACCAGGGGCTACCTCTTATATTCTTTAATTCTGTGGTGCAGCCAACTGTTACCTTTTACTTTAATTCTAACTGCTACATAAAGCCTAGTCCCTAGATGTCAATACTCCATGCTAAACAAATAACATGTTACAGAGCATTTGGAAACTATATCCCAGGAAATATACATGTAGCCTAATGGTGGCCAATATCCAAAAGCTACATTTTCTTATACTGCCCAAGTGATCAGAAATAGCAAAATCATTTGACAGGAATTGAAATTATTGATAGTAAAAAAAAAATAAACCCCAGGAATGCAAACACACAGGGGGATAAAAATTAATGTGGCATAAAATCTGTATCATCCAGATATGTGCTACAGTGAGTCCATTTTCAAGGCCGATTCCTAGGTTTTTACTGCTTGTAATGGAAACCTGGGTTGGAAACAGAAAAAGCAAAAACAATTAGGAAAAACATATCTCTAAAATCTCAGCAAATTTCCTCTACTTAAGCAAAGAAATTTATCTTCATATTTATGTATTTCAAGTGGTTCTTTTCTTTGTTTTTGATTGTAAAGTATCTAGATACAGAATCATTTTTTATTTTAATATTATCAGTGTATGTGTCCAAAAAACAAAGAGCAATAAACACAGCATTTGAAATGGAAAAATACCAACTATTTCCATTAAACTGGGGATGGTGAAATGCCACAAGCTGATGGGAATTATGACAAGTGAACTGGTTCTTTTTTTGTTTTTTATTTTTTTTTGTCGGTCATAGGGCTTAAACTCTGGGTTTGGGCGCTGTCCCTGTGCTCTTCAGTTCAAGGTGAGCACTCTACCACTTGAGCCACAGCACCACTTCTGGTTTTCTAGTGGTTTATTGGAGATAAGAGTCTCTTGGACTTTCCTGCCCAGGCTGGCTCTGAACCGTGATCCTCAGATCTCAGCCTCCTGAGTAGATAGGATTACAGGTATGAGCCACTGGCACCTGGCTAGTGAACTGTTTTGATAAATGTGTTCATAATGTTCAACTAGCTCCATCTTTTTCAAAGTGTCTTTTAGTTTCAATATTAGGTGGCTATCAATGGGGGAAGGAAATCTTTAAAAAAATGTAAATATCTGATATTCCTTTCTCAAAGATTCTGATAATCAGTAAGAAATGTAATTTCATTGGTGCAACAGTAACTTTAAGGACAGCAGACATGGTAATTTAAAGGAATTTGCAAAACTGCCATTAGGTTTGGAAAAATACAATGAAAGTACCATTTGATAAATCTTTAAAAATTGTATCATAACAGATCTGTTAACAAGACCTAATGTTTGTAAAGTCTACTGCAAACTTTAAAGTTCTCATCTTATGTAATCTTAACAACTCTGGATTAAATATTTACATTGCCTCTACTTTGCAAATGAGGATGTTAATAGAAGAAGGTATCTCCTTATTTGAGTTACAACGTTCATAAAAATACATATATGTATGTATATCTGTGAGAACTATTCCGTCCATTTTTAAAGGGGCAATCCAATTTAGATATTCATGTTATTTCTTTACTTCATTCTTCTCTGCATGAACAGTTTATGTGGTGTGTAAATGCACATATGTGAACTCTAATCTGCAGACAAAGGCAGAGGGAAATTAGGAGTCAGTACAGACTGATAATATTTTGTCCACAATACTAGGAACACAACTATTTTTCATATTTCAGAATTTTCAGATATTTGGAATATTTGCATAGACTAATAGCTAAGCATCCCCAACCCAAGAATCTGACATGTGAAATCCTACATAACACTAGCATTCAAAACATCTCAGAATTCAAATTTCCCTATTAAAATGCTCAAGCTGTAGAAAAAAAAGCAGCCCAACAGATGTGAGAGTTATAATTACTTTATAAGGCTAAAAAAACTATAATCTTTCTCCATTGGAAAATGCAAACACATAGAAAATCTTGCATTCACTTTAAGGTACTTTGCATTTTACTTTTTGTTCTTTGTGTTTTAACAAATAAGGAACAATACAGTGATATAGAAAAAGACAATGTAATTTTTTACTCCAGTAATGAGAAGACAGTACTTGACTTTTTACAACATGAAACTTACAAAAGATGTGAACTGTAAAAAAAGAAAGAAAAAAGAAAAAAAAAGATTTGATCACACACACTCTTCTTACCTTTATGAGAGGACTCTGATTTTGAGAAGTGACGAGTAGAATTGTGCTGGTTTGTAAAGTGAGTATAATCTGGACCCTCAGCTTCTGTCACAGTAGCTGGGGGTGGCCTGAAGAAAAGACAAATTTAAAGAGTCATCTAGGCAGTAGAAACTACAACCACACCTGTCTTTGGGTTACAATATATTTTCTGCAGAAATCAAAAGCCAAAATGCTCTAGAAAAATCTGTTTAGTTCCTAGATAGTTGCATGAACTTAAATCAATTATTTTACCCTATTCTTCCTGTGTTTTGATTAACATAATTCAAGCAAAACAAGTATTTTCTCAGCACCTAGTATGTCTGTAGCCCTGTGCAAGATAGAAAGGCAAATGCAGTATGACTTCTCCATTTTAAAAAACATTTACTTTGTTCTGCCAGGTTTTACCAAGAAAAAGAAACAGGAAGAAACAAAAGAACAGAAGAAAAGAAATTTACAAAATTAAGGAAGGAAAAAACAATGGAGTCAGGAAAGTGAGTGGCCAGCTAAGCGAGATAAGGTACTTTGAAAAACAAAAATTCACAGTCCAATTTCCTTTGTCCACCAGGTGGCAAAATAGGTCTGAAAATAAATTCAACTTGCTATAGTACATACATTGGTAACTTTTTATATCAAAAAGAAAACGCTAAAATTGAATTCAAATTTTTCATTAAACATTATTATTTTGGTGCTTAATATCGATTTTTTTCAAATATTTCATATTGATAAAGATTTCAAATCAAAACCTCTCATTGTGCTAGGTACTGGTGGCTCAGGCCTATAATTATAATCATAGCTACTTGAAAGGCTGAAATCCGAGGATCATGTTCAGAATCCAGCCCAGACAGGAAAGTCCAGGAGACTCATCTCCAATTAAACAACAAAAAGCTAGAAGTGGAACTGTGGCTCAAGTGGTATAGTACCTTAAACAAAAAGCTAAGGGACAGCACTCAGGCCCTGAATTCAAGGAACCAGCACAAATAAACAAACACCCTCTCATTCCTTTTATTTTCCCAAAAATATATTCAAGTTTTATACTAAAACATAGAACCAGGTTAATATTGTTTTGAAAGTATAAAATATAAGTATCCTGAGGTTTATAAAGTTAAAGTCAGTTTGGTTTTTTTTTGTTTTTTTTTTTTTTGGTCCGGTCGTGGGCCTGCACTCGGCCTGGGCACTGTCCCCCAGCTCTTCAGCTCAAGGCTAGCACTCTACCACTTGAGCCACAGAACCACTTCCGGCTTTTTTTTTCTGCTTATGTGGTGCTGAGGAATCGAACCCAGGGTCTCAGGCATGCAAGGCAAGCGCTCTACCACTGAGCCACCTTCCCAGCCCTTAAAGTCAGTTTGGTACCATGGTCTCGGCAATATAAAAATCAGGCAAGAGCATTCAAATTTTTCATCCTATCGCAAGCACTGGGAAGATAGGATATAAACCTGGGTGGATAGTGAAGAATGCCTGGCTGTAAATTCTACATAGATTAACTCAATTAATTTTTAGTGCAAGATCCAAGTCTCCATGGTAGTTAGGAGGTACATATTTCAGAGGTCAAAAACATAAAAAATATATACATTTAAAAGGATAAAGTGATGCCTTGATACACATGTGTTGTGTATCACCTAAATACATTTATCTCCTCAAACATCTATCATTTCTCAGTGGTGAAAGCTTCCACACTTGACTGCCACTTTTCAAACCGTAGAGCTCACAGCTGCTACCTTGCAACTCTCCTGTGCAACAGCATACCAGACCTTTTTGTTCCCATGTAACTGCAACTTAATTCCTTTCTCTGTTCAGTATTAGCCTATTCTCCCCAGCCACCTTTCTGAATTTCATGTTTTCTCCTCATATTCCAACCATAAATTCTTTTGAAAAGACACTATGAGCAAAAAGGAACAAAAGAGGCTCCTTCCCTGGTCTTGAATGCTGACAACAGAAGTGTAAAAACAACAGTTACTCTTAACTACAACCCAAGACTTCCTAAGAGAAGTCAGGAGGTATACACACCTCAGGTATGTATGAGAATGCAAAAAGGACACAGACTCAAACAGGAATGAGTTTGGGCATGTTTAAACTGGGCATATTTAAATGACATGCACCAACACTGTAACCATAAAGAGATCCAGTAACAATTTAAAATCTGAGATTTTATTTAGGAAGATGGTTAATCTCCTGTCTTTCTAGCGCTGGTTATAAATACATAAATGCTGAAGTGCAGAGATAAGAATTGGTCCTCAAGAAAAAAAGCCACAATGTTCTGGATACATCTCAGTTTCTACAAAATACTACTATCTGACTTATGAATGTGATCCAATAAAGTTTAAGAATAATACTGTAAGACTCGATACAATACCACCTCAAAATTAGATTTTTTTTTATCTCTTCTCTAAAGAAGTCTTCTCAAGCAACTGATCTCTCCTAACTTACCTAGAACATCACTTCTTCACCCTGCTTTTCAATGAAAGTGTCATCTTACCTTGCTGACCTGTCATTCTTAGAACGATGAGATTCATCACTCTCCTTCGACTTTGGGTGTGTTGATTTAGCTGATTTTGACTAGAGACAGAAAAACAACAACACACACATACACACAAATAAGGTTTAAGAAACACACCTATCACATCAAGCTTTTCTTCAGTAATTTTAACTTACTTTTATTTAAGCAATAAGGCACTTTTATAATACAGCCATTCAAGTTAAAAAAGGCTCTCAGCAGATAGCCAGACATACAAACATGCCACCCCACAAGGCCACAGATTATTAAGAGTTGTGGGGGGAGGGAAAGTGGAAGAAAAATGAGGGAGGTAACAATATTTGACAAGAAATGTACTCATTACCATCTGTACATCACTTTGACAATAAAATTAAGTTTAAAATAAAGGCTGCATAACAACACATAAGAACTGGAAGATTAGGTTTGGGATTTCAAGTTTTCTTTTGTACATCTGACTTAGGAATGATGATTTTTCAACCAGACAACAAAGGCATATGTAAATCAACACTCCACTAAAGGAATAGTACCAGTAACAATCATATGATCTGTTAATCACAGGTGTCATAATGTTCCTAGCAATGTGTTTATCCCCCTATGACTTTTCTGATTTATTAACCATAAAATACTTGTTCTTTTCTAGTTAACAAAGAAGCTGAGTAACTGTGGCAAAATGCATCTGACAAAAGACCTTGAATATTTAAAGAGTAACTTAGAGCTAAGTAAACCTAAGTAATGTGGAAATCATACTTTAAGACTGAGACTTGGTAACTGAGCAAGAGGAAACAGTATGGCAATAATTTCAACATGTCTTCTTTTGCCTTGCAACCATTACTGAGACTGTGAGGTAGGACCAAGGACCCAAGGGAGGACTCAGAGAGAAGAATGCTACACATCAACTGGATCATGAATGCATAACCTAGGCTGCAGTGTGACAGTCGCATTGTAAATGCCCTTCTAAAACAGGTTTTACTGCATGAATTATCTTCCCCTTCATCTGTTCTTGTATTCAACTTGATCTTATATGTGTTCGCTGTTTATAATTTGACTTAGTGGGTAAGAGCCCTCTGTATTTCCACATTGGTCCAGAATGATATGCTGCATGTACAAAGTCACTGAAAGCAGTTTGCTAAGTTAAACTTGAAATTGCTACATACAGCAACAAAATTATTTCAGAATGAACTGTAGTCACTGTCCATTTTGTTACCTGATTAATGAGAGAAAAGACAATAATCAAGACACACGCTAAACAATTCTGATATTGTGATATAAAGTAATGACTGTGATGATAGCATTCTGTCTTCCATAAATGAAATTATGACAAAGCAAAAAAGGACCAGCTAAGGGAAGAGATGCAGAAAAATGCAACACAAAGACCAAGTAGCCAGAGAAACAGTATGTCTCTACGATGCTGAAAACATGTGAAATGCTGCCTTTTCTCATGACCTGAGTACATGAAAAATAAGGTAATTCAAGACCAGAGGCATCTGCATCTCAGCTGTCAACATGCACAGAATGAATTTTCCTAGTACGAGTTGCAACTTTTACATTGCTGTCTTCAGGAAATTTTCACAATTAAACATTAGATTCATATGCAATAAAGATCATTATGCATTCCCTAAATACATTTGGAAAACTTACCCTAGTAACACATTACCCTCGTTAATACATTTTTACTATTATTTTTAATTAAAACAAAATAAAACAAAACACACACCAAAAAAATTCTACCTTTGATTCGGGGTCATGCTTTCTTTTGTCCAAAGAGGACCTCTCCCGGTCTTTGGCTTTTTTATAAGCTTTCTTTTCTTCAGCCATGAGAAGGCGAGCAATTTCCTAAACAGAATCCAGTCAATACCATTACCTACAGTTAGCATGGAAATTACTGGGACATTTACAAAGGAATATCCTATGAAGCTCTCTGACATGAACTCACCTCATCCTGGGCGACTTGAGCAGCTCTCATATCCACGTGGGTAGCCTGCAAAGCGGATACATGAAAGTGATTGAATTGGAATTCATGCTTTATATATTTTTATGTTTTTTTATTGTAAAAATAATGCACAGAGGGCTTACAGTTCCATGAGTAAGGTCATAAGTTGTAAAGTTCATTTTCAACATAGTGTCTTGTACATCTCTCATTGTTACAATGGGTCAATTTGTATCCTTGTTTCAGCACTTATGCTTTATATATTTTTTTAAATCTTATATAAAATAAACTGTCATAATTTCACCTGGTGGTGCCAGTGGCTCACACCTGTAATCCTAGCTATGCAGGGAAGCTAAGATCTGAGGATTGCAGTTCCAAGTCAGCCCAGGCAGGAAGGTCTGTGAGAATCTTATCCCCAATTAACTACTAAAAAGCTGGAAGTCAAGCTGGAGTTCAAGTAATAGAGCGCCAGCCTTGAGCAAAAAAGCTCAGAAACAGTGTTGAGGCTCTGAGTTCAAGCCGCAGTACTTGCAGACACAAAAATTAATTAGAAAAAGAACTGACATAAAAAGTTAGCTGTGTTTAGCACTGCTGAAGTTGCTAATACTCTGCATACGTTCACTGGCCAGAGCAGAGCCATATTTGATCAAATTCTACAACAGATTCTTAAGAAAATTTCCAGAACTTAATAATGCAGAACTAGGTACATAGCTGTGTTGCTAATTCTGCCTCAGCAAGTAAAACTGGAAGTAACTGAAGTAACAGTCCCCCTCTCCACCAGGATACATCCCATACCTTCAGGAGTATCTAACACTGCAGATAGTCTACTACGTTTTGTATACTCACATACACAGAGCTAGGAGAGAGCTTAGTTGACAAATTAGGTCCCGAAAGATGAACAATATTAAAAGAACACATATAGCACTATGTTGTTATAAAAGTTGGTAGTTGTTTTTTCTGGGCTTTCCACTGTACTTTTTGGACTACAGTTGGCCCTGGTCATTGCAACCACAGATTTAGTTATAGATAAGGAACCAACAATACACAACACCCACTGTCTATAGTTCTGAACTGATAGAGATTGAGCCATTACATAATCCTTGTATAACATTCACAATGTAACTGAACTGTTAGTCGAGACACACAAAAAACAAACAAACAACAACAAACCCTACTGATTCATCTGAACTTTTCCCCTGAAATGTGCTTACCAAAAGTTCTTCTTCTTGCAGTTTTCTGGCAATCTCAGCATCATACCATTCCTGATCCCTGTGGGTCCCTCGAGATGGAGTTGAGATAGCTTCTTTCATCACTCTTGGCTTCATTCCTAAAAGAAACTCCATACCATGAGGCAACCGTAAACTGATACAAAAGTTTCCCTTTATTATCTATAACTGACCATACAGCCTCCACACCAGAATTCAGTGTGGAGTACATCTCAAATATACTTTTCCAGAAGCATGAGATTGTTGATAACCAAACTGTCCTGATAAAAAAATCCCTCTCACATAGCTTCTTCAACAGCAGAAACATGCACGAAATCTCCTTCACAAAACAGGACATGGAAGTTTAAAAGTCATTTAAAAAAAGTTTAAAGAAAAAGAAAACGAAACAGCATCTTTTGCAAGGCTATTCATCAAGACAGGAGGGAATGAGAAGCCTCTTTCTAGTTCCCACAGTTAATTGTCTCACTGAAGAGGAGACAGGAAGACATCTGCAAGTTACCTGAAAGTATCTAGTAGCCCAAAAGTAGCTTCTGATTTGATAAACACAATGGCTCTAGATCCTTCACATAGTATTCACCATCTAATGTCATTACTAACTTTTAGGGAAGACATAATATACAAGAAATATGCACTGACAAGAATTCTATTTCTCTTGGGAAAAAGGAGTATGAGGGGACTAAGAAGTCCTGTAATTCTGGCTTTTTACTTTGAAATATTATAGATATCATTTTTTTCTTTAGAGGCTACTAATTACAGCAAATGTTAATGCTTGTTTCCATTTTGTAGGTATTTCCCATATACCCTATTATAAATTATAATTACTACACAGCATAAATGTATTGTGCTCAGAAATTCCAAATATATTAAATGTAATGAACAGTATCAGCTATCTGGAACATTCAGTAAATGGACACAGAAAGGAGAAAATGTACTCATGACTACCGTATCTCCTTATGTCAGTAGTGCCAACTGCCACTGACATACAAACATATTAAAATTCCTCAGGAGTGCTTTAGAAATAAAAAGGTATCTGTCCAAACCCCCAGACATTCTAATTTGAGTAGCCTGGATGAGCTCTGGCCTTGTGTAAGTTTGTTTCAAGACTTTCTAGTTGATTCTTAGTTGTAGTAGGAGTAGTTGAAACTACTATTAACTAAGTAATAGTTGAAATCACCTCCATCAAAGTACATTAAAATGATTATCAAAAAGTCTCATGATACTCAATTCACTCGTTAATACACACACATGCACACACGTGCACATGTGTACACACACACACACAAAGTCCATCTTTGTGAAGGTTCAATTAAGCATGGTGGTAAATTTAAAAACCCAGACTTACATGCATTTACGGTTACTGGTTTTTTTTTTTTAAAAGTGAATATAAACCTGAGTTTCTTCGCTTCAGGCTTATTAAGAACCTGATTATACAGATCACTTCAAATCATTTCTACAGCTACTAGTTCTTATGCTATGCTATGCTATACTGGGTTTACCCTATATTTCTGACTGGTTTGGAAAAGAAAAAAAAATAGTAAATGCTCCCAAGAACAAACTATATATAAACAGGATTTACACCTCTGGCGTCCCTTAAATCTATCTAGAAAGGCAGATTATTGGGAAAGTATATAAAACTACATGAGGAAATTAGCACTGGGAGAGACCAGTGGACAAATATGCTGTTGTATCAACCTTTAATCTACAGAACAAGGCTGTTCATTAGTATGTAATGTCCTTCTTTATCTCCTCACTAATTTTAATTTGAAGTCTATTTTATCTGATACTAGGATTGCTACTCCAGCCTGTTTGTGGGGGCCGTTTGCTTGGTAGATTTTATTCCAGCCTTTCACTTTCGGAATATGTTTTTGTAGGAAAGGTACATCTCTTGAGGACAGTAGACAAATGGATCCTGTTTTTTGATCCAACTAGAGATTCTATGCCATTTGATTGGAGAGTTAAGTCCATTAATGTTGAGTTAGGATTGCGAGGCGTTTGGTAGCTCCTGTCACATTATCTACCTTCATAGGGTATCACTGAGGTTCTGCCTATTTATCTGATTCTTTGTTTGGGGGCTGTTTCTCTGCCCTCATCATTTCTAGTTGGCTATGTGTAGACTATCTTTAAGTATCTTTTGTAGTGCTGGTTTAGGAGTAGATCAAGAAAATGTGGCACACACACACACACATACAATGGAATTCTATGCTTCCATCAGAAAGAATGACACTACCCCATTTGTTAGGAAATGAAAGACTTGGAAAAAATCATATTAAGTGAAGCCAGTCCCAAAGAAATTTAAGTCTCATGGTTTTCCTTATTTGCAATAATTAGTATGCATATACGATAATTATCAGATGAGCTGAAAAGCTCAAAAGCTATGTACATATGTCCACATAAGATGATGCTAAATGAAATGAACCCCAAGATATAGACACAATAAGTCTTTATTGTTATTGTTTTAGATAAACTATGTGATTTCTTTTTTATTTCCTTTGTATGTTCTTCCCCCTATGGCCTTATCCCCTGTTGTCGCTGTACTTGATTTTGGTACCCTGCATCTTATACATACATTTGTCTAATCTGGGGGGCGGGAAGGGGAATAACAAAACGCTGAAACAAGGACACAAGATGACCCATTGCAACAATGATACCCACAAGACAGTATACTGGAAATGAACTTTACAAATTTAGGCAAGGGGTGGGGGTGGGGGGTGGGAGGGGGTTGAGGAGGGAAAGGATAGTGGGACAACAACAGGGAAGGGGTAACAATGATAGACAAGTAATGCACTCATTGTCTTACTCATGTAACTGTAACCCTTCTGTGCAGCATCTTTATAATAAAATAAAAATTTTTTAAAAGGCAGTTCAATGCACAATCCACAGCCTCATTCATAATATAATATGCCAAACTTCTCCCATTTTGCTATCTATAGCTAATAAAATGGTAAAGGAGGAAGTGATTGGATTTTAAGACATTAACCTTTTTTCACTAGGGATGAAGATGTGTTTCAAATGGTAAGAATGCCTACCTAACAGACGCAGAGCCCTGAGTTCAAAAGACAGTACTCTAACAAGTCAGAATTAACCAAGAAAATATTCTGCTTTAAAATCTATGAGAGGGGGGCTGGGAAGGTGGCTCAGTGATAGAGCGCTTGCCTTGCATGCATGAGGCCCTGGTCAATTCCTCAGCACCCCATAAGCAAAAAGAAAAAACCCGGAAGTGGCGCTGTGCCTCAAGTGGTAGAGTTCTAGCCTTGAGCTGAAGAGCTGAGGGACAGCGCCCAGGCCCAGAGTTCAGGCCCCACGACTGGACCAAAAAAAAAAAAATCTATGGGAGGAAAAGAAGGGGTAACATTGACCAAAAAAAAAAAAAGGAGTCTTTACCTCACCCATGTAACTATAACCCCTCTGTAATCACACCTTTATAACTATAAAAAAGGTAAAATCTACCAAAGACTTGCTTTAATTCTACCAAATATACAATGAATGAATGTTTTTGATTGTTTTGACAAACTGACAAGATTATAACCACTAGCAGTTAAAAAAAAATGACAATTTGGTAAAAGTCAAAATACTCAGGAGGGAAGTAATTCAGATCCTTGCTGTATCATTGGAATTGGTAATTCTCATTAAATAGAAAGATCTCAGAGCACTGAATTCTTGAACTTACACGAGTTCTTACTCTTCATAGTTCTTGCTGTTCTTCAGGTGATTAATAGTTCTATAAACCCACATAAGGAACCACAGTAGCACGGTGAGAAGCAGTCATTAAAACAGAGATATTTTTAAAAATGGTTTTAAGACATGGTGAATTGTAGGTTATTAACTTGAATGGCTGCCTGGTGTGTGTGTGTGTGTGTGTGTGTGTGTGTGTGTGTGTGTGTGTGTGTGTGTG